GGTCTGAGGTTGCCTACCTACATTTTTCAGCCTGAAGTCAAGTATATCCTTGCATAAAAAGAAAATAGCCATTAAAAGATGGCTAGACAAGCGTTCATAGGGCTTTGGGTATTTACCAGCTGCAGGACTGTTCTCTGAACTGTCTTCCCTTATTTTTCACTTGTAGTTCTGGAGAATAACTTCAGCGTCCAATAGATGTAACATTGTGAGACAAGGACTGCTTGGGTACCGGGGCTTTCTTTCAGGCCTTCCTAGAAAGATAACATTCTTTAACTTTTGGCCCTGTGTATAGAGTCAGGGTGGGCTGCTCTCTAGGGATCTTTTGGTTGCAGGTTTTTTTTTTTTTTGTACTAGGAATCGAACTCAGGACCTTGCACTTGCTGGGCAAGCACTACGCCACTGAACTATACCCCCAGCTTGGCTGCGTGAATTGGGACAACTGCTGCTGAGTGTCCATCTCCCCAGTGAAGTTTCCTGAACCTTAGAGGACGGGCTCATTGTGGACCCTGAACTTCTGCTGTCCTTTGTTTCAATCTCGAGGAACACACCCACCCTTGTAACGCCTATGTGTGAACATCGTCGTGTGGGACTGAGCAAGTAGGTGTACAGTGAGCCTGATGGGTGCTGCTGGCACCAAAGCTGGACTGAGCTTGGTGTGATCAGAAGGACTGAAAGAATGACAACCGGCTAGCCTCACTCTGTGGTTTCATATTACTTTACCTATTCAGTGTTATAGTTCATCACCCTATAGATAGAGGGCAAAGGATACTACCTGAGCACTTATAAGTGCCTTAAAAGTTAGGACCGGAAGACCATACTATCAGCTTCTTGCACAGAAGAAGGAATGAGGTATGCGTTGTTTTTTAAAAACAGCTTTTAAAGCTGGGCTAGCCAGATAGCTCAGCAGACTAAAGCACCTGCTTAGGCAGATGCAGGGACTGGGAGTTTGATCCTCGTCATGCCATGCTGGCCCTGCCCCAGGTCGTGCTGAGATGGTGACTGAGACTGGGCGTGGTGGCATGCACCTGTGATCCCAGCTCTTGGGAGGCTGAGAACAGGAGGATCATTACGAGTCTAATCTGTGTAGCGAGACCCTGTAGACCCTCTACTAAATACATTTTTTTTTTAAAAAAGGCAAGACACAGAGAATAGTAAATGACATAAATAGAAAGCCTTCTTTATTCCTCTCCTCCTTCCCTGGAATCTCATTCCACTTTCTGTTGTGTACCTCATGGACAAACATAAAGCTTTCAAATGTATGTAAATGGCCAGGCATGGTGGTGCAAGTCTGGAATCCCAGCAATCAGAAGGCTGAGGAGGGGGCTGGGGAGATGGCTCAGTAGGACAAGTGCTTCCTTGGCAAGTGCAAGGGTCTGAGTTCAATCCCTGGTT